GTGGGGCCTTTATCCCATAGCAAGAATGTGAAGGCGGAACACCAGGTCCTCCCTCCCTGTGTGTGTGCGCAGAGGAGAGGCAAGTGAAGATGCAGAGAGAGGGTGATCATCTATCTGCAAGCCAGGAAAAGAGCTCTCACCAGAAACTCAATTTTCTAGCACCTTGAGCTTAGACTTTTAGCTGCCAGAGCTATGAGAAAATAAACTTCTGATGTTAAGCCACCCAGTTTGTGATATTTTTTTATGGCAGCCAGAGCAGACTAATACAGTAACAATTATAAGGCTTATCAAGAAAAAATGTAAAGTGACTTACTGAATTTACATCTTTCATTGCATCATCCAGGTGTAACTGAATACAGTGACTGTGCCAACTTGAAAACATTTAGAAATATTTCTAAAATTTTGGCTGAAATGCCAGATTTTCTCCCTAACATACAGTCACTAGCACTGCCTGAACAAAAGCTTTCCATGACAATATTTCCCACTGATAACAATTTTTTCTCAAGCACTGACAATAGCATGTGGTCATTACTTCAGATATCATTCCTTCCAACTCCATGAGATCAACAAAATTTTACATGTCTGATTTAAAAATAAATTATTACTTGAAATAGTTTATGTTTTATAGGAAAAGAATATTTTACTGTTTTGATTTATAACTTTTCAAATAAGTTTTTTCATTTCCGCAGATATATGTTTTTCAGCAAGTAGGACCATAAATCTGGAATGCAATGTATGCTTATAACAGATTGTATTCTTTTTTTAATGACTGTTGAATAGTTCATGTTTGGAAATGCTTGATAATGTTTAAGTACATTCTGGTTAGAGTTAACATTTTTAAGGGTACTTTCTTAATATTTTTATCATGTTATCAACATTTTGTTAAATTCAGAAGATTTTGTTCTATCAAATGCAATATTCGGTGAAATGTTCTTTTGTTTTTCTCATTGATAATTACATTTTTAAAATTTAAACCACGAGCTTCACCAGCATGGTATTGCCATTCTAATCAATATGTCTTTTAGGAATCCTCTTTGAGCCCCATTTGACTCCCATTTTTACAACCCTAGCTCTGATGAGACATTCATACTTTTATTAAAATAATCAAATTATTTTGTACTGAAGAAATAAAAAATGTGCTATGTTCTACTGATTCTTGTGCAGTGTACCAGATGCTCAGATCATTTGAACTCTGTACCGTGGCAGAAGGGCCCTGAGCTGGGCTCCATACTTAACACCCTTGTTTGTTCTCTGTAGACCCAGAAGATTGAGGTGTATGATATTTAAGTGGAACATTAATAAATGTATCCACACTTGTTTTTCTCCTTGTTCCACATTTGTTTTTAATATTTTATTTGTGTATTTTAAAATATTGAAGCACTGCACTTTGTACTTACACAAGAATTACAATGAGCAAAGACAACTGCAGTATAGCTACTCAGAATCAGTGGCAACCACGTGACTGAGCACCATGATAAACTGGATGTAAATGGCATCGTGTGCTGTGTGAACAGTGAGTGTAGCAGAGGCCCGTTTATCAGTGCTCCTTGTGACATACTATGACAGCCTGAATGAATGAGTTTAATTTAGAATTTTAAATTATTCCTTAATTTTACAACCTGTTGCAATAACCGATTTACCAATCAAAACAGAAATCTTTCAATATTATTCACAATCATTGCAGGTATACTGATAAGTTTTGGTTGAGTAAGTTGCAAGGTGTAAAGTAGAAGATCTTTGAAGTCAAAGGTTCTTTCTTGTTTCGGAGAGATTCTGGAGATATTCCCAAGGGAGAGATGAAAGGAGAGAGAATGGTTTTGTCAACAGCAAGAGGGAAGCAGAAAGCAATTTGCTGGAGACTGGAAAAAGGCCAGTTAGGCTATGGAAGAGAGGTGACCCATCCACCGCTTCATGCCAGTGACCACGGAGGAGGTGAGACCTCAGAGACCTGGCTGCATGGTGTCCAGGGAGGCTGCCCTGGGCATGTGGGCTCCCAGTCACTTCCGATAGGGAGCACAGCAGGTCAGAGGTGAAAGGACCAAGGGCCCGTCCAGCTGGCCGTTCCCTCAAGAACCAGCGTGGATAGATGCCCAATGGCAGAGGGAAGAGCTGCCCAGAGCTTGGGTACTATAGAAGACCCCAGCAGCTTTGCCCAACCTTGTGAGGAGCCCCAGTGAACACTGATACTGAATTTCCTGCTAGTCAAGCCAATAAAGAGGCTCAAAGTTAGATTTAAGTTATTTCAGAATAAATGAAGGGGTGATTTATCTACCGCTCACAAGTCTGTAATTCACAGCCACTTTCTCCATACACGTGAATGTGGGCCAAGCAAGTGAAGAAAACAAGTCCTAAGCCAGACAATACTGACCTCGGTACATGAAGCATGCAGAGCAGCAAACACTGGCTACCTACCAGTCAACAAAGCCACTCTGCTCAGCATAGGGAGTCGATGGCAGACATTCAACCTAAATACAATTATTGTTGGATAAATTATATGCAGGGAAAAGGTTAAAATATCCTGGTGAGTGAAGGGAAAATCTTTAAATTCCGGTCTGAAGAGACTAGTTGTAACATACAATTTTGGGACAACCCAGGAAACACATTCAGCAAAATGTTAACAGTTACAGAATCGGGGTGATATGCAGATGAATGTTCACTATATTTTTCCCCCTACTTTCCTATGCATTTGACAATTTTATAAGAGAAAATGCATCTACAATGGTATGAAGGAAATGTGGGTATTCTAACACCACTGAAAACCTTTTTTCTTTGCCTTACTATTTTATAAACACCAGAATGAGAAAGACTCATCTTCTCAGACTCACAAATAGGTACAGGTGGGCAAGTGTCAGGGTTCTGGCCAATGAAATGTAGGAAATCCCTGGAGAGTGCTTCCTTTATTCTCCCCAAAAGACATGTCCTCATGAGCTTTTGACTCTTTTCTTTCGTCCTGCCTGCCATACGGACACAGTTGTCTGGAGGCACAGCAGCCTTCTTGTGACTATGAAAACCAAATCCCCATGCTAAGGATGGCAAGTCAGGAAGGTTGTTGCAAGGAGTTGGGGACACTAGTGGTGTTGCGGAGCTGCTATATCCAGCCCTGATTATCCTGTCATATCAGGAAAATAACCCCCCTGCCCCACCACCATTAAACCATGGTATCAGTTAAGAATTGTGTAAGTAACAGAATTCCTTACTCCTTACTTCTGTGGCTTGAAAAATTAAGAAGTTTTATTGTCTCGCTCAAGAAGTCAAGAAATAGTAAGTTCAGGGCTAGTAGGGTGGCTCAGTTATCTTGTCAATGGTACTTGCTCCCTCCATCTTCTTGCTTTTCCATTCTTAATGTGTTTATTTCCTTCTCATTGTCACAAGACGGCATTGGGTGTGCATTCCAGGCAAAGAGAAATAAATATCTCATGGGTTCAAACTGTCACATGGCCACTCTTGGATGCATGGGAGCTAGGAAAAAAAAATAAAGTAACTGGCTTTTTAATGTCTTCTGAATGATGAAACAATGTACATTGGTCACCTAACATCCATTCCTAATTACTTGCCTTCCTCTACTGTGACATAGGCAGTTGTTTTTTTCTAAACACTCCCTGGTGAAGGAGTTATTTATTACCTCACCAATGAGCCTGGGAACCTTGCGGATCCCTAATAGTGCCCTGCCACATATGGGCACTAAATAATATTTGTTGAATTAAGAAACTGTAACTGCCTTGTGTTCTTATTTTCTGAAATTCTACCACTGTAGTCATCTTTATTGACATACCATTCTGTAATTGATAACAAAGTAAAATAAGGTTGGGAAAGGGCAAGAGAAATAGACTATGATGGATTGGATGGAGACTTGGAAGTCAGAGTGATAGGAAAATGGCTTCATTATTTTGTTGTTTTAAATTTTATTTTGATGTACAGACTGATGCAGAATGTAGAGACTCTGGTAATGCTGTGCTAGATAATTTAGACCAATCCTTCCACTGAACGTACTGAAAAAGCATTACAAAATATAAAAATATCTTTGTAAAAGCATCAAAGACTTGAGAGTAAGGAGTTACTAGGGCCAAGTTTTGGGAGTGGCTGGGAATCCAGAAAGGTCAGCCTAGCATTTGGCACCAATTTTGTCCTGGAGAATTTGCCAATCTGGAGGAGGTGCTAAGAGGTTGAGTTTTGCTTTTAGTGCTCTTTAGGGCTGGGGCAAAAGTCAGAGTTGAGAGATGTGGTAACCTCCCTGCCTGGGATCCAGAAGGACTGCTCCAGGTGAGTCAGGGTGAACTGGGTTGGGGGTGGGGGTAGAAAACAGCCCTCAAAAAGATCACAGTCATCTGGTTAGCCCAGACAATCTCAAACCCTGAGTTTGGATTAAGGTAATTCTAGAGTGCCCATTTTCCCCCAGAAGCAAAAGGAGTAGAGAATCCTCCTTGGAGAAAGACAACATCATCTTTGACCTCCAATTTCTGTAAAGAACTTTTTAAAACATTGTTTGACATACAATAAAAAATTACTAGACATATGAAGATCCAGAACTCTATAAGCAAGAACCACCAGAAACGAGGGACAACAGATCAGACCTAAAGGAACTTAAAATATTTGAATTATCAAATTTTCCTTTGATACTACCATATTGTTTTGGTGTCACAGAAATTTATATGGTATAACAACTAATATAAATGATATAAAATAAAAAGCAAAAAACAGAGCTGGAAGGAAATATACAGTTGACACTTGAACAATGAGTGGGTTAGGGGGATTGACCCCTTCACAGTTGAAAATCCATGTATAATTTTTGAGTCCCCCAAAACTTAACTTCTAATAGCCTACTGTTGACCTGAAGCCTTATAACATGACCAGTTAATGAACACATTTTTGCATTTGTATTATATACCATATTCTTGCAATAAAGTAAGCTAGGGACAAGAGTTATTAAGAAAATAGTAAGAGAAAATATATTTACAATATTATATACATTTATTGAAAAAATCCTCAATAAGTGGACTTGTGCAGTTCACACCCTTGTTCAAGGCTCAATTGTACCACTCTTGTATTGGTGGTATCTGAGAATGGGAAAATGGTGTTTATTTCATCTTTCTCATTTCTATATTTTCCAATTTTTTTAAAATGAGAATTTATACTGGAAGACGTGCTTAAGTAAAACAAAGTGATAAAGCATATAAGCCAGAGCAGGGCTGGATTCACAGGTGTGATCCTCTATAGTTAACCAGGGGCCTGTAGTCAGAAGGGTCTCATAACTTGGTTTAATGCATTGCTGTTGCTATCTTGAAATTCTTGATAATGTTTTGACAAGGGGCCCCGTATTTTCATTTTGCACTTGGGCACCAGTCCTACAAAGTGAGTCTTGACCCAGAAGCAATTACATGCTGATCTGTTGGCCACTCTGTCAAAGGCTACAGGACCTACTCCAGTTTCCCCACCTCCCATCCAAAGGCATCTAGCTTCCAAATTGGAGGTATGGCCAAAAGGCTGCAGGAAAGGCAGGTGTCCTGGGAAGAGCCCTGGGGAAGGAGTTTGCAGGCCTGATTTTCCTCCAGCACTAGCCAGCTGTATGATCAGCTTTCTGGGACTCCTTCGTTCCAGCTCTACTGCCATTGGAATCACATCTGTGGGCAGTAGGGTAGCCTATAGGATTAGAATCAACCAGCAACTATTGATTTAGTGCCCATTCTGGGATGCAGGTGCTCTGAGATTCACTCCAAACCACGATGTGGTTCCAGTCCCCCCCGCTGGATTTGCCAGTCATTTTTCAGGGTATTCTTCCTTGCATTCCAGACTGACAAATCTGAAACTCAATCCTCTGGACTGATTGGAACATCTTTCAGTGCTGTATCAAAAATCCCACACAAAGGAAGCACGTTTTCCAAGATGCTGGGCCCTTGTGCGACGTGTGCAGATAACAATCCCTACCATTCATTGAACGTGTACCTAGTGCCAGGCAGGCTCTGTGCTAGGTAGGTTCTTTATTAATAGGTTGAGTACTCATCTCTGTTTTTCAAATAAGGAACGGAGGTTTAGAGAGGTTGAGAAACTTGAAGAGGCAAAGGGGTCTGGCTCCAAAAGCGCACGCTCTTGACGGTTCCACTAGACCGACACCAGTAACAGATCCACTGTCGCAGCCTCCTCGGACCAGAAGAAGGCATGGGTCCAATTTTCTCAATCCCAAGGTCAGATGGCGGGAAGGGTGGAGGACGCGAGGGACAGACGTGAACAGGGTATTTTAAGGAGATGGGAACAGCTGTGGTCCAAGGGTTTGTCCTGCACCCCAAACAACACAGGAGCAGCCCCGCCAGCCCATTTCCTCCTCACACAGCGGCGCCGCGAGAACCGGGAGGGGCGGCTGCCGCCTTCGGGAGCAAGGAACACGCCGCACCCACCTCCGGGCGGGCGCGCATTTCGGGAGGCCCCGCCCCTACCGGGCGGCCCATGTTCCTCGCAAGTCCGGGGCGCACTGTTCCCGCGGCTCCCCGCCTCTCGGCCGGGGCGCGCTGGGCGGAGCCGGAACCCGGGGGGCGCCGAGTGGCTAGGGCCCGGCAGTGGCTTGGGCGGCGGCGGCAGCAGGTGGAGCGTGCTCCGCGGTGCGCAGCTCTTGCCCGAAAGCCGCCGCCGCAGCCGCGCGGACCGCCCGGTCCAGCCCCACTTCCCTGGGAACTTGGGTTTCCAGGCGGCGGGCCAGGCCCTGGCGCGCCGCGGATCGCGGGCAGCCCTGGGAGCCGCTCTGGGGCGCAGGGCGGCGGGGACCCAGCTCCTCCCGGTTACCTGAAGGCGTGCTCTGTGGGAAGGAGCCGCTGCTGGCCGCGGGCGCCGAAGGATCCCGAGGGCGCACCCGCCCCGCAGCGTCCAGAGCAGAGGGCGCGTCCCTGGATTCTGGGCACGGAGCGTCCCACGCGATCTTCGAGGAGTCCTCGCAGCCTCGCCGCCTTGGTCTCCAGGGCTCGCTGCTGGCACCAATCTGCGGAGTTCTCTACTGCTCTTTTCTTCGATTTGGAGACGCGCCCGCCAACGCCGCTCCACGCACCTCTCCCGGTCTGCGCCGGCGGACTGGCGCCCGGGTCGCCGGAGCCTCCTGGAGCCCTGGCGCCGGTCGCAGACCGTCGAACTTCTCGTCCGGCGTGCTCCTCCCAGCCTCCCCGGTCACCTTCTGCGGAGCGCTTTCCCCGCGGGGCACCGGCCGGCTATGGCCTTCACGTTCGCCGCTTTCTGCTACATGCTCTCCCTTGTGCTGTGCGCTGCACTCATCTTCTTCGCCATCTGGCACGTGAGTAGCCGACTGGCTTCTAACTTTCTGCTTTCGCCCCAGACGCGCCCCGGTCCACCTGCTCCCGGATTTCTCTGGAATGCCACCTCCCTTTCCCCACGTTCAAGCGGGGCGGATTGGGGCTGGCTGCGCGCGCCTGCAGGTCAGACCCCCGCCGCACCTGCTCCCGCGGCGCAGGCAGTGGGTGCAGCCCAGTGCGTCCTGGTGCCTGGCCGCAGGGAGTAGCGCAGGGCGCCCTGGCAGGACCTGGCCCGCGTCGGGTCCGCAGCGGCGCCCCCGACTCCACTCCACACCCCTCCCGTCTTCTCGGCCCGCTAGGGGGAGGGGAGAGAAGCGCCTTCGGGCCCGGCAATTAGTCAAGTAACTGTAACAACTAAACATTTAAAATGTCAGCGTCTGCGGCGGGTTGCCTTGAGACGTAATTGGAGACAAAGTGGAAACACGACCGGTGCTCGCTAAGAGGAAGTGAGGAGAGGCCGGCGGTGGACTTGGAAGCGGCGGGAAGGAGAAAGGAGGCGCCAGGAGGTGGGCCGGGTGGGGGTGGAGACAGTCACCCCCTACCGCCCCGCCCACCCCCGGGTCTAAGCGGCCCAGTCTTGGCATACTCCGCAGGTGGCAGACCCCTTCACCACGCGCCCAGTGGGCCCAGCACAAGCTCTCCGCTATCCTTGGGGTCACCGCCACCGCCGGTGGTCCAGCTTTTGCAGCGGCTGTGACACGGGAGGTGGACCAAGAAGCAGGGGCAGGGATGGGGCAGGCGGAGGGAAGCCAGTCCCCTCGGAGATACCGCGCCCCCTTGGCAAGTGATGGGCCTCTCAGGTCTTCCGTTCCGAGGTTAAGCGCCCTGACCGCACCAACAGGGCTGGTGGGAAGAAGGAGGTAGAGTTTTGGAAGGAGCCCCGCCTGCATCCTATCCCCTCCCATTTTACAGCCAGTCCCCTTGACAGGGAGGACCCTGACGCGAATCCCTTCAGGCGCTCCTGGAGAGCTCTGGAACAGTCCCCAGGCAAGGACCCAGCCGGACCAGAAGAAAATTCCAGGTGCGGGTGAGGTGCAGGTTTCTTGTATAAGTGGTTTGGAGTGAGAGTATTTATCTTACGACAGCACTAAGCATGGGAGCAGCTCCTGTTACAGGCTCCCTGACAGGGAACAGGAGGGCTTCTAACCCACCTGAGAGCTTGCTCCGCATTGCCAAGGTGAGAAAGTTGCCCTGGATGATCTCCATCATCCCCTGTGTCTAAGATGGTGTAAGCCCACCAAGCCGCTGATTCAGGAATGTAGGGTGAGAGAAGGAATTCAGTCACAGGAATTTTGGGGCTATTGAAAACCCTGGAAGGATCAGGGACGTTCTCTTTTTATTTTGTACCTTTTCCTCTGCCACAAATGCTAGGTCTATTCTGTGGGAGAGAATCCAGCCTGGGAGCTATCCACAGTTGTTAAGGAAAAATGAAACTTTACCTAATTTGAATAAAAAGGGGAACAGAATAGTCATGTCCAACTAGTGGGACAACCCCCTGGTGTGTTTTAGAGGAGATTTCTCAGCTTCTTTGCATTTGGGGAGGTGTTTGATTTCTACAAGGCTAACTGCTCTCTCTTTTCAGAAATAACTCATTTGCTGTTTGTTTTCACTTTGGCTGAAGAGCGGCAGGTGCCAGAGAGCTCCATCAAACTGTCAGGCTTGGGTTCCCTGAATTAGCCCCAGAAGCAGAGCAGGTAACCAGGAAGAATGATTTCCTCTCACTCAGGAAGACAATAAATAATTCAAGAGCAGTTAATTAAATGGATGGTTTGTGTAGCTGGTTGACTAATAGACGTTTGAGTCAAAACCCAGCATCACCATTTCCAGGAGAAGCTGAATTCGGTCAGACCCCAAGCCTGGGTCAGGTCCTGACCAGCTTCCTGGGAAAGTGGCAAGATTCCAGTTTCTAATAGTGAAAGGAATCTGAGTTCTTTGAATGCAAATTACAGTAACAGTTCCCAAGTCTCAAGCTCTCTTCCTTTCCCTGTCTTTTCCTTCTGCTTTGCTCCAAACTCAACAATCCCCCACCACATCCATTTGGCTCCTGAACATTGAAGGGGAATCAGTGCACATGCTGTATGCGTGGGGGTTGGTTATGTGGTGGTAATTATGTTAACCAAAATTTAGGAAAGTTAGTTCTATGTTAGACTCTGTATTTACTTTCTTTTCACCTTATATTGCTTGATCTGACAAGCCTTACTGATGGCTCAGCATATATTGACATCCCAAATAATGAATTGTGCCCTTAACAATATACAGCAGTTAAAAAGCCTGTGTCACTGCCATGTCTAGGCTGTGAGGTATGAAGATGGCATGTTTTCCTTACTAATTAAATTGTACATAACTACCTAGGGGTACTAATAGTGCTATTATTTATTGTGCATCCCAGTAGACCAGTTCTAGGCACTTACAGAGCACCTCTCGAATGTACCTTCTTCTCACCACAGGTCTGGGAGCAAGGATGGATGTGGCCAGCCATATGTACAACATTTCTTTCAAGTCTTGCTCTTTACTTTGAAAATTTATCTGCATTTGTTTCAAATGAAAATATTCCAAATTACCAATTAGTTTTATATCAGCCACGATTGGAAGAGGCAGAGTAATCCTGAGTTTTTTTTCATGTCTTCGCATACCTTTAAGCACATGCTTCTTACTGCCCAGGCAGTCCTCACAGCTGACATTTTACAGATGAGGGAGCTGTGAATCAGAGAGGTTGTGAAACTTGCTCAGGGTTGCACAGCTAGTACATGCTGGAGCTGGGATTTAAGCTGAGTCTGAGACCATTATTCTCATGCCCTTTTTCTATCTCTAGTCACTCACTGCCTTTGGTAATAGTAGATGATGTTTCTAACCAGAGGACTGCCTTTCCTATGTATAAGTAAAATATTTGGAGTTGAAGTTTCTGATTGAAGTTACAACAACAGCAGTGTGTCCTTTTTAAAAAGAAGAAATTCTATTTTATTTAAAAAAAATTAGTTTTTCTGCTTATGAAGTGTTACGGGTTCATTGCTGACAATTTTGAAACTGAGGGAAATATAATGGAACAAAATCACTACTAATCTTAGCAGCCAAAGATTTGGAGGTCTCTTCTTCCAGGCATTGTGTGCTTTTAAAAATTGCATATGCTGTTTAGAAGGAAAAACCAGTTTCTAAAGGGTTTCAGATGTGAAGGGGTGTTTATTTTCAGCCAATGTACAACAAACAGTGCTTACCCACCAGAGCCCTGTGCACCAGCCAGCTTGTTTGGGCTGGTTTGCAGGCTGTCTCACTTATACAAAAGATGAAACCACACTTTGAAGGGATCAAAGATTCATTACCAGTTATTTCAGGTTTTAGCTTTGAAAGTTTTTTTTAAAATATCTGGTGTCACTTTTAAATATCTGGTGTTACTTTGAAAATTTATCTGCATTTGTTTCAAATGAAAATATTCCAAATTACCAATTAGTTTTATATCAGCCACGATTGGAAGAGGCTGATATAAGTTTTAACAATGTACAAATAAAATTAATTCCCAATTTCTTTGGGTTCTTAATAGCATTTGCTGTTAGAGAGTTTTGATGGGCAGATGATCACAAATATGTATTCAGTGAGAGGCAGTTTTGCTAGGTGACATGTTCTTATGGCTGAGCCTTTCTGCCAGTTCCAGCTAGTCACAGATTCAGCCATGGGGAACCAAGTAAACCTCTCAGTTTCTCAAATTATCTGTCAGGAAACAAAAAAATGGGTTTGTGTGAAATGGTAAGATGCCTGGGATTGGCAGTAGCCTGGCTTTTGAGACCCTGTTTGGGTGCTGGGAGGAGGGTGCCCCTAGCCATACCTTGTGTGGTCTCTACTTTCCTTTCAGACTCCCTCCCCTCCCGTGTCATGGTAACATGATGTGTGCGGCTCCAGCTGTACCCCTCCTCCCCTCTGCCCCACCTCCCAGCTAGCAGGGAAGGGAACTCTGAGAACAGCAACCAGTTCTGGCCCACAGTTTCTGCAGAGCCTGGAATAGGTCCTGGTGTGTAGAAGGGGCTCGGCAAATAGTCACAGAATAATTTCGTGTTCCTTTCTGGCTTGGCACACTCCCGGCTGATGTGTGACTCGTTTTTGATTCTGCTTCTGGCTCAGGGCTGCTTGCTAGGCAGTTTGGGCACATGCATTCCCTGCTGTACCCTGACACTTTGAAGTCTTGGAGCTGTTGTCACAAAGAAGGGCTGACCATCACATGGGGCTTTGGCTGCATTGATGATGGAGCTGCTCCTGCAGGGCAGCGCCTGGGGAAAGTGTCTGTGCTGACATGTGCCACCTCATCCTTCTGGCCAGAACTATCCTCAAAGAGGAGGCTTACATCATCATTGTATTTCCAGCACAGCCTGGGAGAGAGAGGAGAAGGGTGCAGAGCTCGGAAATCACCCCCAAGCAGGCTCTGGCCCCAGAGAGCTGGGTGGCCCTGGGGGCTGGGTGCTGCAGGGCCGCTGCATCTGACTTTGGGGTTAGAGGTGCTGAGCACACATCAAAGGCAGTGATGGGTGAGGAGCCTGTGCCAGGTAGTGGGAGTGTCCACCTGTAGACCCTGAAGCCATGCCCAGCCGTGTCCCCTTCTGAATTTCGAGGCATGGTGAATTGCATACCTTGTACCCAGCCTCTCAGGTCACCTGGTCTTTCTCTTCCTTTTGTGCACATGGCTCTGCACTGTCTTCCTGGACTGGTTTTCTGCTGCTCCTCTCCCTCCCAGGAAGCCTGCAAACAGATTCCTCTGGTGTCTTACACTCCTGTATGCATGCCACCAGGGAGTGCCCTCACCAGCTTTTGTTGTCCCTATCTCCTGACAGCCACTCCTCCAGGTATCCACCAAGGTTCCAAGGACTTGGCATTTGGTCACAGTCATGTCCCCCCATCTAGGTGCTGCCATGTTCCAACCTCACCCTCAGGGATCACTTCTGTCCCTTTGCTCCCCCATCCCCAAACCCAAGGCCTGTTTTTACAACATGAGCCTGGGCCCTCTCCCTCCCAGCTTGGCTGCTTGCTCCTGGCCTCAGTGGGACTGATCATTTCCCCCTGCTGTCCCCCACTGGAGGGCAGGATTGCACCTCATGGCCCTCCACCCAGCTCCTACCACTGTGCTCAGCTGTGGCATGCTGGGCTGGCCTCACCAGGGGCCTGTGATCTCTGAGGCTCGGCTCATGTTCCTTTGCTCTTGCCGCGCACCTAACGGCTGCTGAATTCAGGGTGAGTGTGGGGTGGGCCTGGCCCCATACCGCCTCAGTGTGAGCCCACACTGCTGGTTCCTCTGGCCCCTACAGTACTGCTCTGACCTCCAGCATCTCCTTGAGCACCGGAGCCCCTACAACCCTCCGGGACTCAGAGAAGATCAAGGTTACTGACAGGGCTACCTCCATGTCCTGCCCTCCCCTAACTCTCGTTCTGCCCCACGACTGCTCCCTCCTTCCCACACTGGGAGGCATAGCTCTCCTCCCCTGCGTGTCCCCAGGACATGGCTCCCCACCCATGTCCTCAGCAGCTGCCCTTCACTGCTCCTTCCTGGCTTTACAGAGGCCGGGCTGTCTCTGAGTGCTGAGTTTACTAACAAACCCCCGGCTCCACGCCCTCCCGATGCCCCCCAGCCCTTCTTCCCATGCAGACAAGTTCTGCCTCACCAAGTCCTGTGCCCCATTCCCTCTTCTTACTCTTCTATCAAATATGGGAAAGTAGAGACTAATGACGCCTTCTGTGCCCACCACCCAGAGCTGGCAAATGTTAGCCTGTGCTGCTTTGGCTTCTCTTTTGTTTCAGGCAAGATGTTTCTTCCTTGGCCCTGCCTCGGCCCCCTCCTTTCACCCCTGCTCTTGACAAGGGCACATGGCACCTCCTGGAGTCCTTGCGGCCCCTCTGGGGTTTGTCTGGCTATCTGAACACCGAACATCCTCACAGCCCTTTGGGGTCTGTCCTGCCATTGGAGCACCGAGTGTCCTTGCGGCCCCCCTGAGGTCTGTCCCGCCATCCGAGCGCCGAGCGTCCTCGTGGCCCCTCTGGTGTCCATCCCACCATCAGAGCACCGAGTGTCCTCATGGCCCCTCTGGGGTCTGTCCCGCTGTCAGAGCACCGAGTGTCCTTGTGGCCTCCTGGGGTCTGTCCTGCCATCTGAGCGCCGAACATCCTCACGGCCCCTTTGGGGTCTGTCCTGCCATAGGAGCGCCGAGCGTCCTTGCAACCCCTCTGGGGTCCGTCCCGCCATCAGAGTCCCAAGCATCCTCGCCGCCTCCCCGGGGCCCTGGCAGGCCTGTCCACAGCATCCCCCTGTGCTTTCTTCCTGGCTGGTTCCTCCCCCATCCCCACCCCCACCCCTGACACTGTACTGTCTCCCTGGGGCCTCTGTCGGCTTTTCCTCCTCTGCCTTCGTCTGCCTGTGTGTGGGCCTCTCGTGCCTGTGGTGAGGCCCCCAAACCTACCCTCCCACATAGACCTGCTGCGCGGCCCAGTTGGTTCCAAGCCGGTCTCCACACCCTCCTCATCCCTCAGCCTCAGTGGGTCCCGTGCCCACCAGGGACCCTGTCCCTGCCCCTGGACCCTGCCTGGTCCAGGCTCTCATCTGCTCTTTCTCACAGTGTTGTGATCCTTCCCAGCTGGCACACTTGGGTAAAATCTTAACTGAATGAATCCAGCCCCCACACAGCCACCACACATGATTTTTCTAACACCTGAAAGGCTTTCT